ATATTTAAATAAGCAATTTTTTATGACCGGCCTGAAATGATACAAAGAATTGAGGAATTTGGATGAAACTTTGCATACATGAACTTCGGAGTGGGGCGGGTGTCACTAAGCTTTTTCACCGAAAACCACTCAGTGGCGCTATCGATTTATCGATTTTTTGCGTTTTTCGCTTAGCAATTTCGTTATGACCGGCCTAAAATGTTAGAAAACTTCATTGAAATCAAACGAAACTTTGCACACAAGAACATCTAGGCGGGGCGGGTGTTGTTAAGTTTTTTCACCATATAAGCATTATCGATTTATCGACTTTTTAAGTTTTAAGTTTGTTGAACTGAAACTGGCAGGAAGGGATAGCTAAGCATGGTTAATTTAAATAAAATATCTACAGCTTCAACCCTAAACTTTTTTACCTTTTTTGATTTTTTGTATGCCACATTCTGGAGGCTAGCTGATATTAGACTATGCGTTGACCTTTCGCAACGGGTTTCGTCGACTGCATAGCTCTTCAACAAAATCAAAATGGTTCATTCACGAGATCACTTATGACCACCCAATCAAAATACTCTATCCCGGCCTTACGGTTCATTCATAACACGCCTTCATCGGTCGTACTTCCTTCGAGTAATTTTACTCCCGAGATCACGGCGCCGACATTGACCTTTACAGCAATGGACCTTCCACCTCCACACCTCAGTCGCAGATGCATATCGCCCAGAGAACCCAAGCCCGTACCGCTGCAAGACGCACTTCTGAAGCCATGCGTAGCCGCCTTCGTCGTAGCCGAGAAACACCAGAGGCACGAGAACGGCGTCTTGCCTCAATGCGTGAACGTCGTCTTAGTCAACGGCAACTGAACCACAGCTTAACAGACGCCTTTCAGAAAACACTGGATCAATCCAAGCATGGTGCAAGCCCAGAACAGATTGGCCAACGACGATACGAACCAAATGACGAGAACACAGCACAACCGATCTCTACGCTTGACTCGCGGCAACAAGTAAAGTTTGAACCGGCACCTACCTCTAATCCCATCTCGCAGATGCACATTGCGCAGAGAACTCGAGCACGTGGCGCAAGGCTGAGCTCACAGCTGCACATAACCGTCTTCACCATAGTCAGAAAGCACCAGAGGCCCAAGAAGAACTTGCCCCGATGCACGTGAGTTACCTTCATTGTCGCCAGCACAACCAACTTTGAAAAAATGCGTCCAGGAGATGAATGCGGCCACACGTCAAGGACGATCCGAGGAGACCATTTCCACACCCCAGTCGCAGATGCACATCGCACAGAAAACCCGATCCTGTAGTGCTGCGAGACCCCTTGCGCCACGTGCTCAAGTTCTTTGTAGCCTTACATAGCCGTCTTCGCCGTAACCATGAGATATTGGCTGCACGAGATCGACGTCTTGCCTCTATGCGTGAATGATATCATGAACAACACTTACCTGCTGATGCGCCTTCCGTCACTGAGCACTACCTCGGCAAGTTGGATTTTATTTGCCTCCATTGTAGCGCCGCATTTTTCGTGCTGAAGTCTCTAATGGCTGTGATAAAATTAATGTGCGCTACAACCCTGGCAACATCATTATCGAAAACAAGTTCCCCTACAGAATTGCAACAGCTCTTCATTGGTAACTACGAGCCTTCCCATACTTTCCTCCGCAAAGCACGCCAATTCAATTCTGCGCTGGTGCGATGGCATCAATGGGTGCCAAAGTCGATTTGCCTTTCGATCAGTTTCCTTGGGTCTTCAATCCACCTACCACTACTCCGGTCCTCTTCATCTCGCCCCTGGGAGCCGCGATCGGCCAGCTGTACATGGAAACGGCAGAAGCAGCCGCGGAGCGCCTTGGTCACCCAGCGAACTCGGAATGTGATCCCGACGTGATGCGATCGTTAAGTGCACTGATACACCGCGTTAATCCCTTCGCTCGATCCTACAAGATGATGGACGAGGTGCTTAGGGAAGAAGAAGCTGCCGCATCAAGGGAGAACCGCAGTGCTGAGCCAGTTTATAGTTTTCGAGATGGACCGTTCCCTTGACCGTCGTCCCATAGCGCTCCTACATCCAACGAGGTGGCCGTTGTTTACGTCGGCGAAGACGGTGACGTTCCCGTTCATCGCGAATTTGCCGTACATCCATATGTCAACGCAGTTCAAAAGATCTCAGACATTTCCAATCTTGCCGATCCTCTCCGCTACCCGTTATTTTTTCCGAGAGGAAATTTTGGCTGCAGCCCGGATCTGAAGAAGAGGGATCACGCCCTTCGACGCACCTGCATATCTCAGCGGGAATACTACTCCTACTTGCTTCAAGTCAGACTTGGCAAGTTCAATCCGATTCATCACGGAGGCCCACTTACGCAGCAGTTCATGTCGACGCTTGGGTTAAGACGGAGCAGAACCGCTTCAACTACATACGCACTCATCAAGCCGACCTTCGAGCGGATACGCACTAGTCGTTACTCGACTTCATGACGACGGTAGCAATGGATCACCGGGCAAGCGAATCATCCTGCCAGCAAGTCCGCGCTCTATGTTCAGGGCTACCAAGATGCCATGACCATTGTCGCAAAATATGGTAAGCCGGACTTCTTCATAACGTTTACATATAACCCCAAATGGCGGGAAATTGAAGAGCCTTCAGCCAGGACAGACTGCAACCGACCGTCCTGACATAATTGCGAGAGTTTACAAGTACATGTTCGACTCCCTCATGGAGCTACTTCTTACACAACACGTCCTCGGCCGTGTCGTAGGTTACATATCAGCTTTGGAGTGGCAGAAGCGAGGGTTGCCACACACGCACTCCCTTCTCATCTTGGACAACGACTCGAAACCTCGCACAGCAGCCGACATCGATCTCCTCATTACGACAATGATGATGCACCGACCTTGCGGAATCCATAACCCGGAATCAACGTGTATGCGTGATGGCAAGAGCACTAAAAAGTTTTCCAGGACCCAGCTATGAAAAGTATACGAGGCAGCGAAGCTGCCGAGTGCCAGGCGCACCTGCCGCGTAGCGGCAGTGAGCGGCTGGTGGTAGAATAATTACGCTAACCGTCTGAACCCCCTGCTGAGAGGTTTCCTCGCAGCTCGTCGCGCTGAGATGCGATATCAGCCTCAGGGACAGCGCGATATTATCAATATATCTATATCATTTCAAAGAGCAAAGAAGTCTTAGTTTATTGAGAACCATGCAATGATTTACAAAGCTATATAAGCGAGAAATTTTCAAAATGACACAAAGTGAAAAATGCGAAATCAAATACTATTTTTTGTCACAAATTTGGACATCAACATATTCATCAGTTCCCAGACACTCTTGTAACATTAGTTTTAAAAAATCACAATTTCTTCGTATCTTGATGGAAAGCACAGATTAACTCCTTACAAAAAGAGGCTTTCGATGAATAAGTATGAGAAAGTTAGAGATACCGTCCATTGAACAAAATCACTCGCATTCGGCATTTTTTAAGAAGGGCTACAGAAAGTTCTGGAAGTATCCTTATTTGGAAATGAAAATTTTGCGCATCAGCACAGTCTTTGCCATGATTTAGAACGGGAATTTTTTTTTCGGATTTTCGTGGCTGTATTTTCGTAACTTCAGTAGATGAAGGGGTAACTAGGAGGGCATACTGAATTTTTTTATTCCTCAAGATACTCTCAAGAAAGTCAAATCGTACCTGGAGAAGTGATGAAATTTCTACGTATGCTCGCACTCAATTGTTGAACAGCTTTGGCTTATTCATTTAACCTACTTTGGACTATTTAGCTCGCTCCATCACTAATTCTAAAAATGCTAATTTTAACAGACTTTTCTAGTTGTGATGTCTCGTGCGTTCCCTCCAATTTTGAATTCCGGAAGAAAATTTTGATAAACAAACACTTTTTTGCTTCTTGTATTATTTCAGCTTCTGATTACTTTGAGTAATCAAATTTTATAATCGCTTTCCTTTTGGAAAAACACTCTGCATCGATTTTTTGTTCATTTGTTTTTTATCAGTGAAATATAAAATTTTTACTGTTTGAAAAGATATAGATATATTGATAATATCGCGCTGTCCCTAAGGCTGATATCGCACCTGAGCGCGACGAGGTGCGAGAAAACCTCTCAGCAGGAGGTTTCAGACGGTTAGCATAATTATTCTACCACTAGCTGGCTTACCCGGCTCCGCCGTATGTTCCGAATAGAAAATTCCATTTCTGAACCGATCCGGACCAAACTTGGCACACATACACTTCGGGCCCCGGCGGGTGTCACAGTCCACTTTCGTTATCGTTCGATGTCGATGTTATCGATTTTTTGCAAAATTTGAGCTAGAGGGCTGGAATTTGGCAGAGGGGTGTAATCGAGCATGCTGATCACCCCCACGGGGGTGATCAGCATGCTCGATTACCCCCCTGTGCCAACTCCCAGCCCCGTAGCTCAAATTTTGCAAAAAATCGATAACATCGACATCGAACGATAACGAAAGTGGACTGTGACACCCGCCGGGGCCCGAAGTGTATGTGTGCCAAGTTTGATCTCGATCGGTTCAGAAATGGAATTTTCTATTCGGAACATACGTACACACAGACAGACAGACATACAGACAGATAGACAAACAGACATTCCGCTTTATATATAAGATATGCGGCGGCGCTGACGCCAGCTCTGGCGGCTGGCTGCGGCAGCAGCCGGCTGGCTGGGTACCACTTGCACGCCTCCCAGAAAACTGCTAAGAATACATATAAAATGCTGTATCTAATTTCTTCTATTTAAAAATATGCGTCTGTTTCTAAATCAGTCACAAGCTTGAATCTGTTCATCTAAGGTAATTACTATCTTTCTATTTATTCAACTTTGCATTTCGTTGAACATGTAGCAGCTCCGGCTCCTTGGAACTCAACAAGTAGAAAAATAGATTATTTCAAAATGTCGGAATCGGCTCAACCTATTTTTCTGGTATCGATTTAGTAAATATATGAGTAATTGAGTTTTCAATTGATACCCACCGTTTTCTCGGAATCTCGCTGACGGACATGATTTTCTGATGGCAGTGATCACCCTAAAAGAGCGTAGAAGCTTGGTCAATAGTTGAGCTCAAGGAGTTCAAAGTAAAAAACATCTTTCCTTTGAAGAGATCGTAAAGCGACGTGCACTTTAGAGAAAAAAAAGATTTTTAAGGTATATTGCTTTGATTTTCCGCGCGTATGATACAAGCACTGTAAGTTCTATTATCCATTTTTCCAAATAAACTTTTTGAATTCGAAATTTACTCTGTTGCTTCTCTTAGTTTGTGTATCTAGGAGCTAGGAGACATCGGCTTTGCTCGGTCCGTCTTGACGTAAAGTTTATCACTCCATCTCAGTTGCAATTTATTTTCCTTCTCCCGTCCATTTTCATTTCCCGCTCGTATTTGCTAATCGTAATGTTCACTTGCCTTCTGTAGTAAGCCCCGCATGCATAAACATCCCCTCTGGAAAATGGATAGACAGCGTAAAATCAATATTTAGGGAGTTTCAATTCTCATATATTGAAGCTCCTGAGATATGGATTTGAAGTTGTCTATCCATTTCCCTGGGTATTTCTGTTACCCTTTACTAATCCAACAGATAGAAGCGTATAGATCTGTAAGCCGCGTTCCTCAACGTTCTGTATCCAAAAATCCGTGCGGACAATAACTGCAGCTTCGGAATACGAAGGCTGCGCTTCTCTCCCGAATGATTCATGCATGCGATCCAGCTCTCAGCGCCCCAGTTCAAATAATTCACACAAAATATGAGTAATGCTTTCTTAACTTCTAATTAACATGCTCACTTACCCCTTTGTACGAACCTCCAGCCTCCTAACCCAAAGTTTATGAAAAATCGTTAAAATAGTATTGATCGCGTGGGAGGTGGCCTATGACATTTTTCCCAACGCGAATATGTGTGAATTTGGTTAGTTCAGTTCAGAAAATTTCCTTTTTTGGTTCCCGAACTCATGCAGCTGCGGAAATGGTAGCTTACTCATGGCATTTTGGTAGCCGGGAGACCAGAGGCAATGTTTTCATGAGAACTAAACAATTTTTTCAATGCTGCAATACATGGGGATACAAGCAGTTATTGATGTTGGATAAAGCTTGTTTACACGTTTCTGACTGGGAGTCAAGTTTCTCAGTCACTCAAAAACTGTAGAGTGAGGCTCTAGCCACAAAGATTTCCATCAGGTAGCACTATCGCTCAGGAAATCAAAATTACAAAGCGGGCCAGCATATTCTTTTGCAACTGCTAAGCAGGATTGCTAGTTATCGCTACCTTCGTTATAAACTTTCGCCAGGGTCCGGCTTAGATGGTAAACTGAAGCGAAATTGATAGAAAAAAAAGCAAAAAATAAAAGGACTTCTGCTTCCGCTTCTAATGTTGACATCTGCATGAGTGCTATCAAGCTGCTCTTGCAAAAGAACATCTGTATAAGCAACTTACCGAAGGAATTTTTTTAGTTGTAGCAGGCTTCTGTTTTTGCGAAGTGCATGGATTATCTTTTGACTGTATCGTCTTAACAAGTCGTTTAGAATAATCTAAAGTGTTTGCATTCTGAATGGATCCGTGTTGTGAATTGTTCTTACCCTCTTTCACAAATATGTTCTCTTTCTCATCCACCCCTTCGGATATCTTGCAGACGTTTTTTATCTCTTCTTTCTCGACTAACTTGAATTCATCATCAGCAAAGCTATTTACTCCGGTCTGTACTTTGCGACGATTTGGATGGAGTTGACATACATCTCCTGAACAATGAACGATTTCAGCCTTCGTGTTTTACTGGAAATTTGAGATTAAAAACGCGACGGGTATTGCATACTTCATAAACCGAATTTTTTTCTCTCATGCTAAACACCATCACACTTAGTTTCGTGTGGCTTTATATTGGGTCACAGATTACCTGTTGTATATGTAATTTTCGACAATTTTGCTTACGATGGCAAATTACCACGCGATTGTTCATAAAAAAACCCTCTGCTTCTCAATAGAGAAGAGAGGCCAAGTACGCTTAGGCTCTATGAATGAAACTTCCTGCATCAAGAGGAGGCGTCTCCAATGATGAAAAAGCTGCAGCGAAGTTCGTCTGTTTCATCCTAGCTGGGAAGACACTTTTCCGTCACAATTTCCATGCAGTGCTTTTTCTTGGTGTGAATTTTTAATAAAATTTCCTCCTTTGCCTTTAGGATTTCTGAACATTTAACAATACGATTTTGCTATTACTAAATGTGTCAGCATAGCGCCGCATCGTTAGCATACCTATACAGGCAAAGGCTTACACTTATACCGTGAAGGGAGCGATAATTGCCTTCCACCTATAGAGTGGAGAAATGTGACAGCTTCCACCCCTGGCAATTTGTGGGAACAAGAGAGTGGAAAGCGGAGATCGACTGAATAATCGGAGTTGATTGGAGATTGAGTTTGTCAACGTTGCCCACCTCTATTTATAGGACAAAAGATTAAACGATGTGAAATGATAGGCAAGGTATCGTGATTTGCCCGTACTCACTCAAGGATTCCCGCCATGTTAGCATTTCTGAACATTCCTCAAACAATTCCGCACGGCAACGCGCGGCATAAGTTTTCGTGTGGCGCAGAGTGAAATTGCCTTCAAACCGGCAGGCATATCGTGTGATTGGGCAGCAATATATAGTCAGTTTCATTCCGGATTAGGCGGAACATTCCACAAGGACCGACTCGTGAGCACCGTTAGAGGCTTCGCGAGCGCATAGCGCTGGCATTTTGCTAAACAAAGACTGTGGAGTATGAACAGACGCAGACCTCAGTTCTCAGCACGATATGACATACTGTAGCTGCGAAACGCCGCGAGCCGTTGCGATGCTGGCGCCCGCCAACCCAATTTCCGCCTAAATCGGGTCGAAGCTTACTGTATTTTCCACACAAGCGGCCAGAAGTGTGCCCATTCTATCGACCGGCAATAACATTTGCTTGCAGGCGGCCGACAGTAAACTAGGTATGACTCATTCTTAAAATCGTGACGACGAGTTTGACTACGGTCTTTGCGCACACAGGAGCATAAAACACCCGTAAACAGGCATCACTTCAATGCCCAGCTCAGTTACTTCCAGTGACTAAATACTATCATATGTAAGCAGAAAAATAGTTCGAATAGAGATAAAAACCAAAAAGTGGAAGTGCGTGCGTGTCGTGCGCGGTCGCACCATCGTCACGATTTTTCGAATGCCTTATATCTTCCTTCACAATATCCACACCTTATAAGCGCAAACGACGCGTGAGAAACAATGCATGGTTAGGCTGCTCTTTGCGTAGTACGAGTTGACATCGGTTTTTTAGCATCTCAATTAGGAAGGTTCAAGTGAGCTCTCTGGACTTTGGAACTGATTATGGAGAGTGTGTTTGCCTATCAAAAATTGGACCGACGTTGCAGAATGATCACATTCTTGAGGGCATGAACATGGAGGGCAAAAATAATTGTAAAGATGGTTGCAATATCCCACTCAAAGGGGAAACCGCTTGAGCGGCAGGCACTCGTGAGAGTGCGCGCACCACCTTGGTCATACAACCGCCCTTACGACCGTACAATCGCACACACCAACAAGCGAATGTATGATCGCCGTTTACTGCCGGCACGGCGTTTATAACTGAGCGCTTACTGATCAATGATGTAGATAACATTTTGGCAATACATCAAGTATTGCTAAATTTATCATCACAATGGCAAAGAACGCTAAGTGTGGCATGAAAACGACTGATGCGTTAGCGTATCAGATACAGCGAAGTAGCACTGGTGAGAAGTTCTGTATCACAATGAGCGAGCTAAAGCGAGAGTAGTGCATCAATGCAGCTACCGCAGATTCTTGACCGCTCAATTTGATTCTCGACGAAGGCTAAAAGAAAATGCTGTATAAAAGCGTTTGTGATGAGAGCTAGTCTTACTATTAGCATAATGTTGAAGGGTGATCTTGCTATCATCAAGAAAAAGAATTGCTAACGAGTCCCAACGAATCAATGCTAGTATAATCTAAAAAGAAGCGAAGTTATTCACTTTGTAGGATTTTAGATGGTAAATTGTTGGAGAGAAAAAAGTCTGGGCTAGGCTGAATGGGCGCATTCGTTGTAACTCCATTTTCGTAATCAACTTTTGTAATCCCCAAATTCATGAATTATTCTATGGATTACACCGCACGGAACTCGCATGCAGCAAGCCCGAGGTCGAATCTTATGTGGTACGGTTAAAGAAAAAACATATGCTAATACACACACAGTTTGCTATCCGTGTATGTGTTCTGAACGTTACTGAATCAGATAGTACTTTTGAATAAAACCAAAGAGCCTCACCTTCTATGCAATAAAAGCATAGCTCGATGGATTTTTCAGGTATGCACGAAGGTAGTATCTTTTCATTAGCGATAGAACGAAAGAACACACAGTTGGATTGGAATGATTTTGGAAGAATATAACTTCCTTTTTGCAAAAGACTCATAGTGCTGAGGCAGTCAGACAACCGACACGTTAACGAGCCCGAACAGAATGAAGTTCCCATTTGATGCTGATAGTAAACGAGTGCCGTACGTGTTTGCCAGGCGCATTCACAGCAAAGATATCATCCTATCTGTGATAACGCGCTGAGGACATCTGTTTTTTTGCATATTTGGATGTCTGTGTGAGACTTTGTCGTCACGAAACTCATAGAGCAAGTGGAAGCCAAACTTTGAACTCAAAGTTGAAAAACATACATTGACAGCTTGTGGGTTGCATGCACAGAGACGAACTACCCTTCAACAAGATTGGCGGCTGAAAGGCGATCGCTCTCACCCGCGGCGCAGTCTGCGTCTCTCTCGCGAGCGTGCTCTCTGAACACCCTTTAGCCTTTGATCAGTCCTCAAAGCCCCACCTTCCAGCCGCCAATCGTTGAAGCAAAGGGTATCAATGCGTGGTTTTCTCAAAAATCGCACGAACGGATCCAAATGGCTTATGACTGCCAAAATTGGATTCACAACTGGACTTTCTGTGATGTTGCGAGTTTGTTTGACTTGATCTGGAAGCCATGAAGTTGGAGTCAAAAAATTAAATCAAAAATGCAATTCCTCGGAAGTGACTCCAAAAAGAAGTGCTTGCGTAGACGACAAGATATGTCAAGGTTTTCTAAGAGTATGTGTGGGATTTTTTTGTTTTAAAATGTAGCTATGACAGTCAGTATCCATAGGCCACTAGCTGGCATACCCGGTATTGCCCGGTTCATGAGCCACGGAGCCAGAGGAAGGAGGGGGAGCGCATAAAATATGTGTTCTGCTTCAAAATCTACGCCTTTTCGTCTTTCATACCCAGGGCTCGGCACGAGCTGGCACCAGGAAAATTTCAATTCGAAGTCCAGTCTTGTTTGATCTTACTCGTACGAAGTCCCCCTTGACCTATTTTGCAGACCCGTCATTGATTTTAAATTATTTAAAAGTACGTAGTAGGGTTTTCACGTATGCTGATTACATGAAACAATTTACAGCTTTTTGAGCTTTTCAAGTGGTTGAATCACATCTCGAGAAGCAGAAAAAGCCGACTTTTCCATTGCGGAGCAGACTGTTGATGGTTTATGTATCATCAACCTCAACAATTCTATAATCCTAATAGCTTACGGGTATTCCCCATAGGCTATATTCCCCAATCGCTCATATTTAAGTGCCGAATCACTCACCAATGAGTGGCGCCTATCTTCCAGGGGCCGCGCCAAGCCGCGGCATCCTCTTTCTTGCATATATTTCGTGGACATTCCGATTGTGCACGGGTCAGCTCCGCCTTACTACCTATATAAGGAGCCCCCGATTGTATTATAGGTTGCTTCCCCCGGTTCAACACCGGGGTTCGTCTGTGGATAAATCTATTATCAACACCACTATCGTCTACGACACTTGGTTCCCACCAAACAGACCGAGTAATTTTCAAATGGCTATAAAACGCTGAAAAGATAACACTATGAAACTGTTTCTTTTCTGTATGTAAACTTTTACGGTGTAGATACATTTTGTGTAACAAAGTATAAAACTTATGTGAGCAAAGTGTCGGTGCCAGCTCAGCTGGCCCAGCTGGCACGGTGCCAGCTAATTCAGAAGAGAGTTTAGCACAGCTTTCATTCACATAGTTTTCATAAATTTTTCGGCCATACTTCGGGTCCCCCAACGCACATGCACACATCAAATTTGGTGTCATATGCGTTTTGGCTGAAAATAAACCCTTTGTTTGTTTGATGGACAGCATGCCGGTGGCATGCCGGCGGCATTCTTGCGGCTCCTCTCCGCCCCGGACCGGAAAAACGATATCCCCTTTGCTTTCGTCCAAAAAACGATATCCCGCTTGACCCGGTGCCAGCTGTGCCGAGTTCTGTTCATCCCGCTTCCATCTGGTGCGTTTCTGCTTCCCCATTTCCTTCTCCGGTCCCGCAGCCTATATTCACCTGCACGGTGCGTTGTAATCGCAAATGCCTACCTCAAAGAAGCATTATCTCTAAGTACCGCATCCTTCTGACCGGAAAATGAGAATGAGCTTGTCTGCCCCTGTTTACACCAAAATTTGCATGGGGTATGATAGTTGTTGATAAGACTTCACCCATTGCAAAGTGCCGAAATAAATAGATCAATAGAAGGATCCAGCGAATCGCTTCAAAAAGTAGCCTAAAACCAACTACGGGGTCGAAAACATATATATGTAAAATTTCAGCACAATCGGTTCACGCGCAAAGGAGTCTATAAAAAACATACGGTCAAGAGTTGCACAAACATCGAGTTTTATATACACACTAGTGCGTCACCTCCGCTTCGCGGAGGTGCCCTAACCGTATGCCTTTCTCATGTTCGCATGAGAATGGCTTGGATTTGGGACTCACCACGCGATGCTGAGCATCACAAATGAATCGTAAACAATTGTTCATTCATGAAGCATCCCCCGTGTAAGAACGGTAATTTTGAGAAAAAATAACTTTGTTGCAAGGAAACAAATGCGAATTTGAACGGATTACTAAATTTATTTTACTTTTATAATCGTCATAAGGATAGTAGTCACCTTGGGCTACATATCAGTGCAAAAATCCTCTCAGTTTTTTCAAATAAGACCTTGCCAAATCGACTATCTACGCGTTCATCACTTTTTGGCGCTGTTTTCGCAAAAAAAAACTTTTTGAGCACTTTTTGGACTAGAATTCATGGCGCGCAGAGTTACATCAGGCAAATCATAACTTTGCAAAAAGTCGAATTAGCGACCCAGTTTTGCGTGCCAAAAAGCGAGTGAACCCGTTTGACGCGCAAATTTTTATCGGACTGGCTCATCCTTGTGCATGGTGAGCCTACACGCTGGCACGGTATGTTATGCAAAATTGCAGCCTGCTAGCTTAGTTGCAGCTTCCTCTATGAATTTCGTGACAGACAGATTTTCACACAGACACACACACACACAAAAACAGACGGCCTTAGCGCGTTATTATAGTAGGATAGATGATAAATAGTAACTGCTTCAAATTCTCACTCACTCTTCTGCAAAGAAGTTTTAATTAAAAAAAACAAACCTTTCATGAAAAACCTCTTGAAATGAGTATGTTGGATTCATTCGCGTTGGTAAGCATTGAACTTCAGCATGAGAACACTTTCACAAAAAAAGTCAAATGAAGTACCGCTCATACGCACTCGTCGGCAAACGCGCAAAATCTGAAAGCGCGAACGCGGGCAGACTTTTATTAAACTGCAGAGTAAAGTCAGAAATGAACTAAGTTTGATATTTGATACGAGGCTATCACTATCTTGCCTGTATATAAAGCGGCAGCGGCAGTGTTTCAACAGTTTGTAGGATTAGTCAGCCGTTACTTATGTCTAGCTCTGGCGAGCAAAAATCAGCTGCCGAGCAGAAATTGGTGAGGCGGTCAGCCTTTGTGTTTTGTGTCTCTGTACACTTATCAGGGTTTATAGGTGGAGCAGAAGGTATTCTTGGCTCTTCGAAATAAAACTGTGAGCAAAAACTGCTATAGAGTGCTGGGATTCAGTATTGAACTAGATAAAGGACAATCGGCGAGTTGGAATCACTCTGTGCTTTTTGCGGATGAACCAAATTTTCAGCTTGGACTTATAATCAAAAGAGATATCGTTGTTGGCGTTAAATGGGACAGCCCTTGCCTTGGTGTACTTCAGACCGGAGATATACTGTATTCGATCGACAAGCAAATATTTTCAGAAGACCCGGATAAGAATAAAGATTTGCTAACTAAACTCAACCAAACTGGTGGAAAGGTTCACAAAGAGTCTTACCCTCTTCTCAGTAAAGCAAAAATTTCCAGCATACTGTCCATGTCATAAGGTTCAAACGCCGTCCAACAATGAAGCCAATCCTTCCTAAAGGTTATCGACCCGTGGAAGGATTCCAATATGAATGGACTATGGTATATCTGATGAGGGGAATGACGCTGGGATTGGATGTTCGAGTTATAGATGGAAAGGTATCTTGTCAAACTTCTCGTAAAAGTTTGGGAACTGACTGAATATCATTCGTTGATAAGTATACTCGAAAAAGATGACCTACTCATGTCTTTGTAGAATTTTGAGACTCCTTCTTTCCGGTCTGCAGAGCGGGGGCGCTTAAGGCTGCGTTCATACTGGACCGGAGGTCGGGAACAGTTCCAGCACAGTGCTCGAAAGAGCGCTGTGCTGGAACTGTTCCCGAACTTCGGGATCAGTATGAACGCAGCTTAACTAAATGTGTTCTGCAGCGCCGAGAAGAGCGTAAAGGTTGGGCTTGTGAAGAGATTCCCTGGCGTTGTAAGTGCAGAGTTTGTCCGATCCAAATGGCGCCCTGGACAAGTTGACACGGTCTTCTTACCAGCCGGCTCCTCAGTAGGATACGATGTGCATGGTGTTATTCGATTCTTCTTGCCGGACAAGGACCAATACGACATACGCCGGCCCTGGAATGGGGAATGAAGAACAGCCAGCAGTTTGACTGCAGTCAAAAAGCGAGGATCTGGCCCGTCTTGTTATGTCAAGTCGTTAGTGCAGCAGCTTTTACTACACTCTTGATGTTTTTTCCCTTTCTCTAAGTAAACTTCTAATACTTTCTCAATGGGCCTCTTTAACCGTAACGCATTTGGCGCTCAAATCATATGCAGGTGTTTACGCCATTGCGAAAACTATGCCCCATACAAACACATTAGCACACTATGTAATTGCTCGCAAAAATTGATTACAAAGAGTTTCATTAGATCGGCCTTTTCCAATACTATCTTATGTAACCAAACGCTGCAAGTATCGCATAAAATATCACTTTCTTGAAGCTGTACTAAAATATGAAAATTCGGTCCATTTGTTCATACAACCCTAATTTCACGCTATAAGAGCACCTTTTTTCGGTTTTTCAAGCGTGCCGCTCAACCGCCTCGTTGTGTTGCGGAAAATGAGACTTATGCCGCACGATACTCTTAGGCAATATGTAGCACTATACATAGTTTTTGGCTCGCGAAGTCCTTCGGTATGTCTGTGCTGTATGATTTCAGAAAGAAAAAGCCCCGCGTCCTATAGCGTGAAATTAGGGTAAATGATATCCCGTCTTCTCTCTAAAAATGTTAGCGCGTTTTGGAGAGAGGGGAAAGTTTGCCAATTACTGAACTACTCAACCATGACTATAATATCGCAAAGACTGCGTGATTAGGAAGGAAATGTAGCTATCGGAGAGTAATATTTGTTCGACTAAAGGATTTACAACTCGTTCGGCGTTCTGTGTGTGAGTTTTGGTGAACGATCGAAAAAACCGACAGTACTACTACTACAGTACTACTTCGGGGACAACCCAACTCCCTTCCCCTTCAATTCACTTCGTCGAAAGTTCCCAGCGTTTGTTTAGCGAGCTTTCTTAAGGGCCAAACATATCACGCAATTTTACAGCTCGTGATTCTACCGACATGGCAACTGTTACTAGTTCATTGCATGCCGATCATCTTATATTTAGATTGTGATAGTCATTCGTGAATAGTCGAGTCGGAGGACTATCACAACCGAAATGGAAGATAATCGGCATGCAATGGACTCGCAATAGTTGTCTTGCTGGGAGATCGCAAATCGATGATATAGAGTGATGTATACCGGGAACTTTATCTCCACAATAAAAAAACACTGAGCCAACGACACCTTCACTAACCTGTTACCATCTTTCAGCTTCCCATTCAATGTTTGCAAAAACTTTGCATACAAAACGAATAAATTTTAGAGGACCAACAATCTTGGGAATGAAATTGTATGTGTGCTCTTTGCTCACTTATCCCCTTGTACCATACACCCTCCCTGAACTTTAATGGCGGTCTCCCAGGATTTCCGTCGGCGGAGAGGGGGAGGGGAAGGAGAGGGGGGGGGGGAAGAGAAACAACATATTTTTCATACAATGAAAGAACGTGGTGATAGCCACGCACTAAGGATAATTTTTGGAATGTTCCTCATAGTTTTTGCGGGCCCATAACCCAAGAGTCCAGAGAAGAGGGGTGTCGAGATTTTCACAAGACTAATTTGTATTTAAAAATTTAAAACCATTCTAATTTTTCGCAAGCATGTCACTAAAAATTCATGAGCTTCACCACTTGCTTTCACGCCCATTGGGAATGCTTGGTATAAGCATGATAGACTCTTACAGTTGAGTCATTTCACATGATCATGTATGCATTGCATACACCTCTATTTTTGGGGTCTCCTCATCTTGTATTTGCAATTGCAAAATGCGAGAGACTGACCGATTATTATCGCTCACATCACTTTGAGGTGATGGTACCCAGAAAGTAAAGAAAACTTTGAGAACCCAGCGAAAACACATACCTGAAGGGTTGCGCTCCAAAAATCTAAGAAGGAACACCAAAGCTGGACAGTATGTGCAATGGCGCACATGATCGTAAGAAATGATTCGATTGCATTTTCTAGATGTAAGTAATCAAGTTAAATGCTAGTGAATTGCCGCAAAAAGTAGCCGTAACTACCGCGATACATATGTTTACAAAATCTCAGTTATGTCGGTGCATCAGAAAAAATCGCATCGAAAACATATTATTCACACATAAAGTCATCCATAGATAGCTAAGCAGGTATGTGTATCCTTCTCGCTCCAGTATGTAGCACCGTTCTGTGAGAACTTCGGCTCTTCCTGTGTCTCCCTTGTTGATACTGTACACTGTGATAGTATAGCTTAGCTTATCAAAATCCATCGTGAGATGTAGCTTTGCGAGTGGTCACCTCATAATCGAAAAATGGATCTTTAGTAATTTGCTACCATCTAATCTAATCTGCAGGTGTACGTGACGCATATCTATCCAGACAGCATAGCGTCGATGTCACTTTTAATCGGAGAATGCATCATTGACGTAGAAGGAGAACTTGTGACTTCTATTCCACAGGTGAAGATTTCATTTCTTCGAGTAGTAAATTACACACTAACTGGGTTGTGCGACAACACCAAGATTTGTAGCTTACCTCTTCTATGGTAAAAGCGCTCGATAAAAATGGTCAGGTCCGCCTGCTTGTGGAGGAACCCGGCAACGACATGCTTCGTAATATGCTGCGAGCAAAGATTGCCGTAAGTTCGGCTTTGAAAAATTTTGTCATTAGACGATTTCCACACTTCTTAGCATCAAAAAAGAACGAGGAAGATTTAAGGGTTAATACAACTCTTATTTTTGAAGCCATTTCTTACTGCTAGCTTGCCCACTATTCCAATCACGATCATAACTTATAATAACGGGCTAAGGGTTGTTTGCGTGTTTTTGTGTGTGTGTGTGTGTCTGAATATCTGTCTGTCACGAAATTCATAGCGCGAGTTCCAGCCAACGTCCTGAGCCCAAATTTTGCATAGCGCATGCTACCAGCATAAAAGTCCACCATGCGAAAGCACAAGCGGATTTGTTAGGTGGATCCCTCAGAAATTGCGCGTCAGCCGGGTCCAATTGGCTTTTGGCCCGCATAATCGGATCCATATCACCATATTTTGCAAAGTTGTGGATGTGCTTGGCATCTCAATGTGCAAGCAAGGGGTTTGGTCCAAAGAAAGGATCAAAAGTCTACTACTTTACAAAAACGACGCCGAAAAAGTATTGATTTTTCGATGGTCGATTTGCCAGGGTTTTACTCAAGCATTTGAGAAGATTTTTGCACAGAGATATGGCTCAGAGTGTTATTGTCCTTATAGCAACTACCTAGCCAGAAAAAAGTTCAGAAACCTATTCAAATTTGCATTTGTTCTTCTGCGAAAAACTTCATCCTCTCAAAATTACCGTTCTCACATGGAAAAGCTTTCGGAATGAGTAGTTGTTTACAATTTATTCGTGATATTCGGCATCGTCCGGTGAGTTTCAATGCCATCTTAAGGCATGAGTGAGTAAGGCGTACAGAGTAGAACCACAGCGATCCTCTGCGAATCAGTGTAATTCGTAGCGCAAGCTGCAGCCAAGATTTCGAGCTGATTTTTAGGCTATAGCATGCCAGCAGCACCCAAGTTAATTATGTAAAGAAGTGAGCGAATCTGTTTCGGTAGGACCTCGCGAGTCAAACGGATCCACCAGGCATTTGAAGGCAAACGAGATCCTAACTTCAGGAGTCTGCAGTAACTGTAAGACTTTCAACTTGGACATCTTCTAAGCCCTGGAATTCAGCGCAGATACATAGCAAAAAGTTAATTTCGTGCAAAAGTGGCGTCAGAAAGAGATGACTCAATTGATTGTTGATTTTCAAAGAACTCACTGTATAGCTGGAAATATTCTAGGCTGGAAATGTAGTGTGCATCTGTTGTTGTTCTAATTAGTCAACATCGCATTGATAAAACGGATTCAAAATTACACTAACCGTTCACCAAAAAGTATCGCCACGCTAATTTTACCGGTTTCACATGAAAACCTCGTAGAATGAATGGTTGTTTACATCATATTCTTCACTATCAGAATTTTCCAGGGAAGTTCAAAGCAATTTGAGAGACGAGGCAGGGCGCTGTTTAGCTCTGAGGACAAGCATGGACACGCAGATCCGCGCACGACACGATATTCACGGGGTGCATAGAGCCAGTACTGTGGGCGTGCCACACTTTGCCTTCCTTAAGAGAAGATGTGCTCAAAAACTATAGAGTAGGACCAGTGCGAGCCTCTGCGAAGCAGAGGTGACGCACTGGTTTGTAATAAAGCGCGTGTCTGTGTGTGTGTGTGTTTATGTCTGTCTGTCACGAAATTCATAGAGCGTTTTGTAGACAAGACCTTGAGCTGAAATTTTGGTCATAGCACCCTACCAGCATGTAGGTAAAAAGTGCAAAAGCACAAGCTGGTCCGATATTTGGGACCCTTAGAAACTGCGCGTCAAACGGGCCCACGCGGCTTTTGGCACGCAAAGGGTTGAGCCAGACCTCGCAGCGTACGTACGCAGCGTACGCCGCGTTCCCTCCTATGATGAAATATACCGAGCGTACGCTCGTACGCGGCGCACTCTGGCTCAACCCAAAACTAGGCCATTAATTCGACTTTTTGCGAAGTCATGATTTGCCTGACAAGTACATCTGCGCCTCATGAATTCTAGCCCAAAAAGTGCTCAAAAAGTTTGCTTTTCTGCGACAACAGCGCCAAGAAGTGGTGGTCGCTTAGACAGTCGATTTGGCAAGGTTTTATTTGAAAAAACTGAGAAGATTTTTGCACGGAAATTCAGCTCAAGGTGACTATTATCCTTATGACGACTACCAAGCCAAAACAAATTCATTAATCTAATCGAATTCGCAAGTGTTCCTTTGTGACAAGTTTTTTTTCCCTCAAAATTACCGATCTTACGTTGTTACTATTCATTTGTGATTTTCAGCATCGCATGGTGGGTTTCAAAGTCATCATTATGCGAACATGAGAAAGGCAAACGGATAAAGCCAGTGCGAACCTCCGCGAAGCGGAGGTGACGCACTGGTTTAATATATTAACGAAAAAATCAACACTGCGGTCAGAACCGACAGGACGTTGCATTCTAGGATCTCAAAAACGACATTCCCTTTGAAGCCCAAATCTCTTACGACTTCCCCTTTGACCCCTATTTTTGACCCCTCATTTCGTGACAACCAGACACACACATAAGAAGACAGACGACCCCAGCGCACATACTCTGACATTCGGTGCGTGCGGCGCGCGCGCTCCCCGTGCGGCGCTTTGTAGTGCGCGCGGGCCGAACGGTGAATGCGCGTGGGCCGGACGGTGAATGCGCGCAGGCCGAACGATGCGCGCGGGCCACGCGGTATCGAAAGCACTCCGTCCGCAAGCTACTGGAAAATAGATTTTTCATAAAGCTTCTTTTTCTTATTAATCCACTGTAGGTACGAAACTCCACAGTAACACAACACTTCACAAGCTTCCCCTTTCACTTTGAAAAATTGGACTTTTCACATGCCCATACCTGTGATCATCCTTATTCAATACCAGTCCAAAGCGCCGCTTCGCGGCGCTTTGGACTGGCTGTGTGTAAAGTGGGGTGTGCTTAAAAGCTTTGTAGCGCATCCTTTTTCCAGAAAAATCGCAGTTATTTTTCGTGCGCGTGATAACTTTGTAGGATGAGAATGTTCCCAACCGCATACGTAATTTCTACTGCGAGTTATTTTTTCAGCAGAAAGAAGGAAGAGATAGTGGATTAATATGAGCAGTTATTATTTTTGTTGGAAATTTAGTCATAGCCTGTGGATCTACGAACTCTTTTGAGCTTATCTAATAAGTTCTTTCATTTCGCCACCTTTCAAGCAGTACTCAATTGTACAAAAAATTAGCGAAGTGCGTGATTAATGCGCGATCAAAATTCAACTCAATTCTCAGACATCTCTTCAAACCAATTTACATAAAGGTAGGCCAGAGATCGGATCAGGACTGAATCAAAAATGCGTTCAAAATCGGGCAATTTTTCATACTATTGCATTAACCCGCTAATATTCAGCCACATTCAACTTTTCTCATTTGACACATGCGGAGAGAACCTACAAAAATTGCACATCTTTAAGGGCATGCTAACCATGCATTACGATGGCGCTTTTGTCTCTTTGAAAGCAACTGAGGTTAGGGTGATGAAGCGAGTTCTTTGCTTTTGGCAACATCATATTTTCATAAAGTCAATTGACTATCCAAGGGTTGGCCTGGTTACTGTAAGTACATTTAAAAAGGCAATTGACTACTACTGTTTACTTCAAAAATTTTCATTCGTTGAGTTTTTTCTTATAAAATCATCGTGAGGAAATATTGTTATTCTGTCGATTCTCGCAGTGCTGCTCGAATACAACGACTAAAGAACATGATGGTTTGAAATAAATCATATGATATTTTAGGGATGACTGTAATGATAGCATGAGTGCGCGCATAGCAAAATCAGAAGTGCACATTCGTTTCAGAGTACCTTCAAATAGCCTCACTGTAATAAGCACCAACAATGTGACGCTTGCACATTGGTGAAACTTAATGCTTTTTTACACAGGAGAATTTGAACGTCGAGGTCCTCTATTTTAGTGGTAGAAAGCTTTTTAATACCGTGCTGAGGAGAGTTGAGCTAGGTCGTGTTTTGGGTTTAGGCAGTGCACAGATAACATTTAGATCAGGCATAAATAGCGTCACTGTTTACTCAAAATGAATGTGATCAGAGAAATGATTTTCGAAAGTCCTAAACTTTTGTAAAGTGCTCAGAATACAAACAGGAAGAACGGTAGAGCATTCATGTGTGGAAATCCAATATAAAGTTTTGGAAGAGCAAGATATATGCAAGGAAGACAACAATAGTGAAATGTTAATACACATTTACTTAATTATTGATAAGATCCATTCTCTAAGTTGAGCAATGAAACTGTTTTATTTGAGATTGTGGAAGTTCCTTTCTAGTATTTGATTTTATCATTATTTACGCAACGAAAGTGAAGAAGCGAGAAGCGCTTTCAGATACTAATTCCTATCATTATTGCAGCAGACCTCCAATCCAACTCAATTTTTCAGTTCTGTGATTCCCATAAACCTACACGAGATCTTACTCAAGAAAGCTCATATCTTATAAATACCCAAAAAGGCACAAAATTTCACTATACAGTCGAGCTTATCTTCTCGTACTCTGGCAAAAAGTGGATGCAAAAAATAGATAAAATGTAATGCTACTTTCATTCATTTTAACAAAAACATAATTTACTAGCATTGCGTTGGAGGATCCTCAAAAAATAGAATGCCAGCCAATGTAGCGTGTTCAAGCAGGGCTCAGCACAGCTGGCACCCGGTCAAGCTGGATATCGTTTTTAGGGCGGAAAGCAAAGGGGATATCGTTTCTACAGGGGCCGAGAACTGCCGCAAAAATGCCGCCGGCATGCCACCGGCATGCCATTGGCAAGCTGTCCATCAACAAACAAAGGCGTTGTTTTCAGCCAAAACGCAATAGTATGACACCAAATTTGGTGTGTGCATGCGCGTTGGTGGACCGCAACTACGGGCCAAAAATTTATGAAAACTTATGTGAACGAAAGCTGTGCCGAACTTTTTTCTGAATTAGCTGGCACTGTGCCAGCTGAGTGCCAGCTGAGCCGGCACCGATACTTTGCTCACATAAGTT